ATGGCGTTCTGAGTGTTTTCATCACATTGCTATGTGGTTTCAAGAGAGTTACTAGGGTGTTCTTGATGGCTTCCAGGGCGTTGCTGTGCAGTTGCTATGGTGTTCAGATTGTTTGTTAGTGTGTTGCTATGTGGTTTAAGTGTTTTTAGCATGGTGCTATGCTGTTTCTGATTGGTGTTTTGTGTGGTTGCTTACTTTCAATGTCAAGAGTTTCACCTGTTTTGAGTCTGATGACTAAGTAACAGCACATTTGTCCTCATGAAGACGTGTGATTTGAAGAAACATTTATGTGTGGAGCACAAACGCTGCAGGACGAGTGCCCTATTTTAAGGGTAACTGTATAAAACAGGTGGTCCTGTACAGAGCTGATTTGCGAGCGAGCAGGTGCGGAGGCTGAACTCAGGGCCTGATGTTGTTTATGTTTGGGATGGGGCCGTGGACCAGGAGGAAGGGAGGTGGCCGTCCTGCATAATTCCACGTTTCAGTTTTTAAACGCAGGCCACAGCCTCACAGAAATATCATCACGCCGGCTCTCCCTCGCTAATTACTGCCTTCAGTACCCTTCACTGGCTCTGCTCGCTCGCTCTGGACAGATCCGCAGTCTTCACAGACAAAAACACTCTTTACATCAACACACTTGTGTTGTGTCTGGAAAGTGGGGCCGTTTTGGGTGATACGCGGAAATATAGATTTATGGACGGGTCATGTCCATTATGCGGATCCTTTTGAACTCTGTAACCTTCAAAACCCACTCATATATATCACCCACTCTGTCATAATTTAAGATTTTATGTAATAGAGCATAGCAGACTTCATGTTTATTGATTGTAATTTGGTTATAGACTATGACAACAGATAAAGGGATGGAAAAAAGTTACATGAGGATGTCAACTTTGATTTTAAATGTTTCATTTGATGTATTGGTAATCCTCTTTTCTTTCTTTTGTTAAGATATCTTTCAGTTTCTTGTTATTGTATAGCACTTAAGAACATTGATTTAACATTATCAACCTGATTTCAGTCATTTAACCAAACATGATGGATAGTAAGTCCACAAAACATCACAGAATCTATCAAATCCATTGCTAATACTGGCTTTTGTTTGTTAAAGAGATTTTACTAAAAACTAACATAATGGAAAAAAACGATTAAATTAAACACCAATTAAAACAATATTCCTAAGAAATATGTTTTGTTTGAAATATTTTTATTATAGAAAATAATTAACAAAATCCACTCCAACCAAGTAGTGAAATTATTCAGTGAAATCAAACCTTCACTCATTGTGTTAAAACAAACTAATATGATTTTCATCTTTAAAAAAAAATCTGTTTAATATTTTATCTAAAGCCAAATTAGGACTGACCCAGATCACACATTTGGTCACATTGTGTGGGAATGTGTGTGTTTGTGTGTCGCCAGCTGAACGAGGACACATGCAAAGGTTCATAACAAATAAACAGTCAACAAATTGTGCCGTTTGAGCCCACCTCCCACACACCGCCTGGCACGACGCCCGCCTGACTCACCCATCTAATGACAGACTATTACAATAAAGTGTGTTGAATCACCGAAACAAAAACGCAGCCTTCAGATGGCAGATATGAAGCAGTCGGGCTCAGAGCCACACGAGATCTCAGCTTATCATCATATCAGAGTGATTTCTGAAGGATCATGTGACACTGAAGACTGGAGTAATGATGCTGAAAATACAGCTTTGATCACAGGAATAAATTACATTTTAATATATATTCACATAGAAAACAGTTCTTTTAAATTGTAATAATATTTCACAATTTTAACTGCATTTTTATTAGGTAAATGAAGCCTTGGTCCGTCTTTTTATTTTTATTTTCTCTGAAATGTGTCACTTTGGTTTTCAGTGGCGTTGTAATTTTTAGATTAAATGTGCACAAATTTTGTTTCATTTTTTACATCGCACTGCAACAACTTGTAGACTTTTTATAACCAATCTATGTATTTTCCATGGCGCCATCCTTATTAAATAAAAATAAAAAATACTACAGTACTTGAAATATGCCATACTGAAATGCATGTACAATGGTTTTATAAGCTACAACGCAGAACCTGGTTTCACCAGTGCAACACGTTCCTGGATCAACATCTTCACTGATCCTGGAACAATATTACAATCAACCAATCAGATTTGAGGGACAAGTTTACAGTTTGTGTCAAGTTTTGATTTATTTTATTTTATTGCAATATTAACAAACAGAACAAGTCGATACATACAAGAAATATAAACAATCTTTCAAAACAAAAGAGAAATTATGGTTCAGAATACATTAAGAGAGGAAATGTGAAAGAAACGTAAATCTATTCAACAGTAGTCTAAAAAGAAAAGAGATTAAGAGAAGAAAGAAAGAAAAAAGCAGTATGTGTCAAGTTTAGGCTTACAACCAGGGTTTGGTGCTTGTACATCAGTGTTATTCACCTATCATTTCCCTCTGATGTTAGGGATGGGTTATGGGTTATTAGCTTTAGGGGAAGGGATATGAATTTTCGAACAAGAATGTTGTTCCAGGATCAACAAAATATGTCGAGGAGATTCGGTACAACATGGTATTTCCAAAACATAAGATGATGTCACTACCACGACATGTGTAGAATAACATGATAGTATTATTGCCTATAGTGTTGAACAAAAATACTATGGTATTACCATCTGACTCTACATTGTCGTTACAGTACTTTTTTTTTTTTGGGGGAGGGATAGTTATTGTTACTGCTGTAAAATCATAATACACAACCATGGCATTTCTTTCATTTCCTGTTGCTGTTTTGTTTAATGTACTTATTTATAATTAGAAACTGTGGTTGCATATTATCAAGCAGCTCCCATAGAGGAAAACAGGTCATGCTGAATAACAACCAGAGCAACAAACTTCAACTAGCAAAACTGTCTGGTATTTGGCATAATGGAGTCTCTCAGGAGGAATCGTAGATTTTGAGGTGCTTTCACAGATCGGGGGACGGTGTGTGTCGAGGGTTGCGTTGGTGACAGGCTGTCCAGGGCGGGCGAGAGATGGAGTGATAGAGGGGATGGAGGAAGAGTCTGCAGTCTGCAGGAAGATGGATCACACCAGGAAGATTAATTAGTCTCTGACAGCGACAGCTAAAGTGTTATTGCCATCTGGAGAGTGAGGAACTTCGTGTGTGTGTGTGTAAGACTTGAGCTTGGCAGTGCTGTTATTGATGAAAACAGTTCTCGCCAAAATGGCAAAGCGACTGAAAGGTGTCGAAGAAGGACATCACATGCGATGACCTTCACAAACAAAGTGATAATTGTGTGTGTGTGCGTGTGAACATGTGTTTTTGGCATGTAGAGGGAGGTGACTTTGCAGTTGTCTTTTTAAAATCTTCTCAGAATATATAATAGTTCATAAAATGGCACCCAACAACAGAACCATTAATGGTAAAAATTACACAAAAACAAAGTAGCCTACTCACTCGTCACAGACCCTGTGGATTCCAGCGACTGCACTAACAAAGAACAACAATACAACTCATTAAATAACATTTTCATGTATGATTTGTGCCACGTGAAGTTATTTCTTCTCTTCAAATTAAAGAAGTATATTTTCCAGATAAATAGCTCAAATGCCATTTTACCAAGTGCTGGAAAACCATGTGTGTTTCCCTGATTGTGCACAAGAGGGCGACAGTGAGAGCTGAGGACGACAGTAGAGATGTATGACCACTAGGGGGCGTCAGAAAACAAAGAAAAAGATTGATGATTGTCTGAAATGATGACCTTCTATATGCATTGAATGCCCTTTATGTATGACAAATACCTTAGTTTTGTGTTGTTACAATGGTTTAGTCATGGTCTCAGGTTGTAATACACTGGAGACTGACAAATTACTTACAAAAAAGTGAAAATACTTTAGTACTTCTCATGATTTAATACTATAGTACTCTCATGATTTAATACTATGATATGATTTAATACTATAGTACTCTCATGATTTAATACTATAGTACTCTCATGATTTAATACTATAGTACTCTCATGATTTAATACTACACTGTAAAAAAAAGTTGCTGCCTTAAATTTTTAAGTACAATCAACTTGGATGTTTAAGTCATATTCACTTAAATTACATTAAACTGACTTTAAAAAATGAGTTGAATCTTGTATAACTTCTACAAGTTTTTTTTTCTTTCAAAAAGTTGGTAAAGCAATGTAAAAACATATGTTGTCATAACTTATTGATCATATAATTGTTTACAGTGTATAGCACTCTCATGATTTAATATAGTACTCTCATGATTTAATATAGTACTCTCATGATTTAATATAGTACTCTCATGATTTAATACTATAGTACTCTCATGATTTAATACTATAGGACTCTCATGATTTTTTGGATAATTGACCATTGTAAAACTGGTATTCTTGGAAATACCTTTTTTACATACAAAATGCATTTCAGTACTACGGTATATATCAAAACAATATATTACTTTTTAGTAAGAGAAAGAATACAGTGACACCACAAAAAGTGCCATGGTACTTTTGCAATATTTGTATTTAGTTAGGCTGCCTGTTTGATCATAAACATGATATTCATATTTTTTTAATAATTAAAACTGTTTTCTTTTTATATCAGGTACCCTGCTGTCAGCATAACGGGTCATTTATAGATAAATACATGTTATTTGTTTTATTTTTTATTGGCATGACCTTTTTACAAAAAAAAATATTTTAAAAGCTTCAACACACATAAAATAAACTAAAATAAAAACTTTAATAATGAGATAAGATACAACAGAATAGAATATCGCAACCATTCAACGATATACCATTAACCATTCATCCATAATATCTATTCTCCTTGAAACTCAAATTCCCACAATCCCCTGTTGCCACGTGCGCGTGTCCTGTCAGCAAACCGGACTAAACGTCACATTCCTGCATTCTCATCCCTGCGAGCGCGAGCGCGTGTGTGTGTGTGTGTGTGTGTGTGTGTGTGTGAGAGAGAGAGAGAGAGAGAGAGATAGAGAGAGGGACGCAGGCTAATCTCTCCTTCCAGGACACCTCTCTGTCCACGGGAAGCACTCATGACCGGGCGGGTGTAACCGCGGAGGACCCCGACCGCAGACCTCGGGTGAGTGTTTGCGTGTGTTTTTGCGCAGATGTGAAGGTCTCGCCGGTTTGGGGTGTTTGACTGTGTTTACTGTGGCGCAGAGTGTAGTAACAGCGCGCGACCGGACGGAACGTCTCTGATACACTGTAACACTTCACACACTCTTTGTGATCCTCAACTTTGCATCTTCTTGTTGCTAAACTGCATGTGTTTGCTCTGGCGGAGCGGTGCTCGGATCACGGGCTGATGACAGATGTCGGGTTGAACCTGTTGACGACTCTGATTCTTTTGTTCAATGTGTGTGTTTTTGTTTTTATTGCGGCTCTTTTGCAAGCCTCACGTCATAATAGGGGACTGATTTAAATCCATAAAGGCGCAAATGTTATGTTCCTGGGAGAATAAAGTGTCAGATGTGTTCGTGTTGAGTGATTAACTGATGTGTTGGTGTTATGGGTCGGTCGGTCTATATAAATATCAGCATGATCGTGAGATGTGGTGTTCCTGCTGGCCGGTTCAGGACAGTATTACCGGTGTCATATCGTATCGATCCCCGGTGGTTACATCAGACGCGGGCAAGGCCACAAACACACGCAGTGTATGCAGTTAAAGAAGCCTGATCTTCCCTCGTCATCCTCTGTGACACGCAGCTGGCCTGCATGCACACTAGCTAGGCTACTGACTGATTCAGCACTGCAACAAATCAACCTTAATATGCATTTTAAACATTTGATTATTATTTGCCATTGCATTTTTGCTAAGTTGTTTTGTGATCTGGATCTGTGAAATGGTTGCAGATTTATTTTTGTTTTGGAATGCCTAACTAAGCTTGATTAAAATATGAGTTTCTCACTTGAAAATAAATACATTTATGTTACCGGTATGTAAAGAATATTTTATACTGATAAAATAACTACAAAAAGTTACTTTAGCTGTGTGCTAATGCTGCTGTTGGGCGTTGATCTGAACATAATAATAATCATTCATTCTCTGGGCTTCAGCTGGCTATGATTTATCAGATCCTGGAATCTGTCTGATTCAGCAGATGAAGTCTAGTCATGATTATTGTTCTCAATATGCTTTATAATCATAGGGATATATATATATATATATATATATGTGTGTGTTGAGTATGTGTACGTATGTAAATATATATAGGGCTGTCAAACGATTAATCGCATCCAAAATAAAAGTTTGTTTACATAATATATGTGTGTGTACTGTGTATAATTATTTTTAATACATAAATACCCACACATGCATGTGTATTTAAGAAATATTTGTATGTATATAGTACTGAATGTAGCCTATATATAATGTATATTTTATATAAATATAAACATTTTTATATATAAATAACATATTTTTCTTAAATATATACGTGTGTGCATTTCTATACAAAATAATTATACACAGTACACACACATATATTATGTAAACACAAACTTTTATTTTGGATGCGATTAATCATGATTAATCGTTTGACAGCCCTAATATATATATATATATATATATATATATATATATATGTATGTATATATATGTATATATATATATGTATATATATTAGCATGAAATGCTGAAATGCAGTCGGTGTTAAATATGAATTTGTGTGAATTTCTCAGTATATAGAGGTATGTGTGTGTAAAGAGAGAGAGAGCGAGAGAAAGACATGTCTATACAGGCACATGTCAGTCTGAGAGCATCATACTGTAGTGCTCTTCGTTAAAACTGTTAAACGAGTCATTAAGTTAAAGTATTAAAGTGTCATTTGACTGTATAGACGTGAGAAGCTGCAGTCTGATTCGTAGCTCAGTGGATTCAGTGTGTGTGTGTGTTTTCAGATGATGATGGACTGTCAGATCTGATGAGGGATCTCGAATGATCCACAAAAACAATGTATCTGTAAGATGAAAAAATTATAATGAGATGTATATTATTTATTCGAAGAAATGCATGTTATTTTTGCTGAAACGTGTTGTGACTTTGTATAAGAAGAATCTGTAGTTCAATTAATATGGTTGTTTCTCTGGCTCACATTTCATGCCTCATCATGCTCTGAAATGTCATTCGTTTATCTGGATTGTTAACATTATACTTTCTGAGCATTTGTCTCTAAACCTTTATTTACATTAAAGATTACTCAGACACTGAGAGACATTTTAAGTCCATCAATATTTAGGTTTGCTATTGTTTGACTCTAAAAATTGTTGACGGATAATAAGTCATGATGGGGGATTATGTATGGTACACCTAACATCAGAATAGACAACATTTCACCTTGTTGTATAAACCTATTCCTTGACAAAAAGGGCTTTGTTTGTCACACAGAACAGTGCTGATAGGGCTGTTTTCAGCCGCCCATTATTGATTACCCAATCCCTGCTGCGCTCATCATGAACTACGATTCTGATTGGTTCAGCCTGACACTGTCCGTGCTTTTCATTGGTCGTTTGTGGTGCTGTGTGAGTTGGAATGTGTGCTCACTTCCTGCTTCTTCAGCCAATCAGAACTGCCGGATCTCTTCACATACCATTGGGATTCAGATCACATCATGAGTGTGTGAGAGAGGTAGAAACATTGGTGTGTGTGTGTGTGTGTGTGGGATCAGTATTAGAGTGCTGTTGTCTGTAAATTGAGTTGTGTGGGCCTGTAGTTAAAAGACTGGTTGTTTCATGTCTTGCATGTTCAGCATATTCTCATATTATTGTGCTTGTTTCATTTCAAGTCCATTTTACATCACAGCTTCATATTGATAGAAAGGGTATATGCTATATGGAAAGATTTAGCTAATTAACTTGATTGGTAATTGTTAAATGACAAACTAAACTGCCGTGCAAGTGTGCAATAGTCTTGCTGTATATTTTATTGTTTATGCTTCATTGAAAATGCATGCATTTGTAGTATTAATGCTCTTGCCTGGAAACGTGTAACACAATCGTGTGCTGCTGACCACTGTAACCTTGAGAGCAGAAATGAATGCATTGTTGTGGATGTTGTTCATACAGTACAGAGAGCTTGGCATTATCCGTTTTAAAAGCTTTTGTTTGGAGCTTCAATGATGAGTTGAGTTCAACAGAAGTTTAACAGTTAGTTTGGTACTATGATAGAGTGCCAATTTATGAAGATTTGCATTCAATAAGGCCTCAGAAACACTGATCTGTAGATATGAGCATAGACATTAAATCCGATCTGTGAAGTGTGAATAAATCATGATTGGTTGTGGGTGTAAAATATTAAGCTGGTGACTGTGTTGATTTCTTCTTGGGTTGTTTTGAACTTAGAGGCGATAACATGTTGTAGAATAAGAATGTACAGTGATTATTTGTTGTATTTTGAGTGAAAGTTTGGTATTGTTCTAGCTGAGGTTTTGTTCTAGAACAGAACAATGGATCTGTTGTTTCTCTGGTGAGCTTCAGTTGTACGCCACTATTATTTCCACCAATAAATCCCTTTATAATACTCAAAAAGTACTATAACGAATATATTTGTAATTAGTTACTTTCCACCTCTGGTTGACAAACACCCTGTTCATAAGCACTTCTTATTACAAGTATGGGAAGATGTTTGGTGAGTCCCACGTTCCCAAATGCACGTTATGAGCGTGGATCAGGCAGCGTTTACTATGAACCGAGACGCTGAAACACTGGATCGTTTACTATGAACCGAGACGCTGAAACACTGGATCGCGTGTAAATGAACACAGTTCCGCGCTTCTCTCTGAATCACACAGTGCATGTATTTTATTTATTTATATTGCAGTCTTTGTGATTTGATAATCGCACTAAGACATATTTTTGTTTTATTCTGATTAATTGTGCATCTGTGCCCACCACTGAAAACCTGGGTATGTAAGCCAGATGTGCAGACTTTAAACAGCATCTGTGTGTGTGTACAGCTTTTGATCAATACATCAGGCCATTGATCAGACATAATTGATCCGTATGTGTTTTGTGATAATAATTGGATGAGAAGAGTAGCAGCCACTCACACACAGAGACACACACACACACACACACACACACACACACACACACACACGGAGACACACACACACACACACACAGAGAGAGAGACAGACACGCACACACACACACACACACACACACACACTCCCGCATGCAGAGAGACACACACACACACAGAGACACACACACACACTCTTGTACATCTATCTTTATGAGGACATTCATTGACACAATGCAATCTCTAGCCGCTTACGCTAACCTTACTCATCACAACTAAGTGCTTAACCCGAACCCTTACCCTAAACCTACCCCAGGCCCGGATTAACACAGTGTAGTGCCCTAGGGTGACCACATTTTAAGTGCCCCCCACCCCCACCCCATTCAACTCACATGCTAGTGCAACATGAACATGTCATACTAAATATCTTTATTTCCATAATAAATGGCATGTATGAGGACTACATGCAAAACCTTATGTCTAAAAAAATCATATACCAAATAAGCAAACCCAAGAATCAGCTAAATTCAGCACCACAGAGACGCACAGCAGCAAAACATTTAAATGCAATCAAATCCATTAGTAATCGGATTGATGGCTCAATAGAACTGAAAAGCTTTTATTCAACCTTTATTGATCCGATTGAGCTCGATCGGTATCAAATTTCGATCGGATTGAAAGGGGTGTTTTTTTTCCTTTTCTAATCCGATCGAGAGAACATGTAAACACTTGATCGGATTAAAAACCGAAACTGAAAGGACTGCGTACATGTGCAATGACGTTGAAATAGCGTAATGACGTATGACGCTCGGAATGTTCTTCCTGTTGAATAAAGTGTCATATAATTAAGTGTCCCGTCATTTTAAAATTCTCCTTTCACTCAGCGTCTGGGAAGTGGAGCAGGACCAACCAGTCATTTTTCGGATTATCACCCAGAGACGACTGGTTTTGGGCGCGAGAAGGGAGGGGCATTTTTACTGATAAATATAAGCAACACGGTACAACAACGGTTCATGTGCTCATTGTCCCCAAATTATGACCAGATATGGATAAATATT